AAGTGGAATTTCGTGATGACTGTAAGTGGTCTTGAGAACACTAAACTGAAAATGAAAAATTTTACTAGTGCCTGAAAGTATCGCTCCGCTGTGGCTGGTAAGGACTATGCAAAGCCGATAGGTGATTCACAAATGTTGCATGTCATTTCAAAAGCAGCGTCTGTCTTCATCACCTACTAAAGAGAACTGTTCTCTTGGCAATTGCTGTGTGGTGTATGTGGATTTATGAACAACAAAGGATATATTTTTGGGTTTCCGAATACCTGATATTTCTGCATCCATGGCTTTACTTTTCCTCTGTAAGGAGACCAAGGCACATCAAAGCATGTTATCAAAAAACACCAGCTGAGTCTGAACTCCATGTGGGCTGCTCTGAAAGTTGGCTCAAGTTTCTGAATTTTATTCTGAGCAGATTTACTCCTCTCCTACACGTTCTGTCACGGGTCTGATTCTGTATAGCTCAGGTAAAAATATGAAGGATGCTGCTTTCCTTCTGCTAGTGTATTTGGCTCAGTCTTGGCTTTTTGGGCGGCTTTCTTGGTCCCTTGTGCTGGAGGGGCCTCGATGGGTAGTGGGGTACCCGTCGCTGTGCACTTAACTTTGTATTTGGAGTCGTCTCCCAAAGATGCCTACCCTCTCTCCCAAGGCTAAGTTACGAACTTGCTTCCTACTTGGGAGTTCTGAATTATAACTATGTTAAATACTTAAAATGTCATAAAGCAAACAAAGTAAATATCCCACCTGGATCAGGTTCAATGAAAAATAAAAGGCAATAAACATTTAAAAGGAGAGAAGGAAATAGGTAAAATAAGAAACAGCAGGCACTATTTTGAGCGTGCACAGTGTTCACGCCTCCGGTGTATATTTTGGGGGATGACTCGGGGTTGGTTCTGAGAGTTACTCCTTCTGGGGATCAGTAACTTATGCCATTTGGCACTTCTGCCAGGTAGCTGATGTCCTGAGCTGCCATGGCAGCCTTGCGAGGGCAGTTTTTGTAAGGCTGGAAAGTTTTCTTAAGGGACATATAAAGGCGGTTTTGGTTTGGTTTTTTTTTTCCCCAGCATGAGGGGTGTAGGTTTCCTTGCCTCTGTACAGTGCAAAGAAAGTTACAGTCCCTATTTCCCCCAATGGTCAGCAGGGTACTAGAGTTTGTAATCAAAATATGTTCCTAAACGGGTTTTGTTCTTCGATGCAATACTCAGGTGTTGGTAGCAAATTTTCAAAATACTCGAGTCGATCCTTGTTTTCTCTTGAGTGCAGAGGAGCCCTTTGAACTGCGGGCCTGGCTGTGGTTAATGGCCCTGGCCAGTATCTTTTGGTCTCGCAAACTGATTTTCCACGTCAGGCTTGGAAGTTTCCCTATTTAGCCTCCGAAATGTGACGGGGCACGTAGGTGAACTCTGCAGCAGAGGATGTTTCTGGTGCAGTCGCTTTGAATGTCCTCGCAACAACAGGAAGAAATCGAGCTGGGGTGCTTTTTCCACTCTGCAACCTCTGAAAGTAACCACCGAAGGAGATGAAGCGAGGAGATAAAAGCGTATGTGGCAGCAGTTTCTTAAGCACCCCGGCGGCTCTGTAATGAGTGCTCAGATAAAAATTGTTGATATATTCCCAAATACTTGAAGCGCTCTTTGATTTTAATGCTCTGGCTTATCCTGAGTACATTAGAGCGCGCTGCGTTTGGTTTGTTCTGACGAGCAAGTAGTTAATGTTCAAGGCAGGTGTTGAAACAGTGATGGTTGCCTTTTTTGGAAGAGTCCGTTGAATTCTTTCCAGAAAAAATAACGTGCTTGGCTCACTTAACCTTGCCTTAGGTCCGTGTAGTAAAAATCCTAACATTGGCAGGCACAGCAGAACTCTGCACTAAAGCCTGGTAGTGGAACCAACATTTCAAATAGACTTTAGTATGTGATTAAAAAAATAAACGATGATAAGCTTCGTGTTTATGTAAAGATGTTTACTGTATGATCATTTAGTGAGGATGCTTGTGCCAGACTTTTTGGTTGCTCTGCTTTCTGTCTGTCGGTTCCTCCCTCGTAGGACTCAGTAACTTTGGGGTTCATTGATAGCATCTGTCTCGCAGGAAGACATTTGTCATGCCGCAGGATGGTGCAGAAGGTTTTCAAGTTTTAATTAGTAATAAATGGAAAACCAAGTGTATTCTGAGGAAGAAAGCTGTTGTGTTAGCAGACACTTAAATATCTCAAATATCAACTGAAACATAAAGTGAAAAGGCATTATTGCAAGCTAATGCATTTCTTTGGTCAGTATTTAGAAGGAATAAAATTTTCTCTCACACTTTCCTCAAATGTCTTAAAAGGTTACACTGATACTTCTTCACCCTGATACTGACCATAAAAAACACCAGAAACATTGTGAAATAGTGTAAATGAATAGCAATTACTGTACTTGTTGGATAAACTGTAGTATTTTTGAGGTAGTTAAGGAGATTTGTTCCTGAGAGTGGAATGCCAGCATCTATTCAATACCCCTTCAAAATAATAACTGGTTAAGTCCTTAAATCCTGCAATTTTTTATGCACGGGAGATTTTTCTAGTTAGGCCAGGGCTCTACAAAGATATTCTATATGTCTGGGAGATAAAGGGCAGCACAGCTAAGCGGTGCTCAGTATGTGATCCCTGTTTGACCTGTCCTGCGCTGCGCCGGTGTCGTCCTACGAGACTGTGCACGCTATAAAATGTGATGTCTTAGGAGCATTGTAGAGATGCCCCGTAAACGCAGTCCGTGGTGTAGCTGCTACAAAGTGGTGGAAGTACAAAGCGAATGCTATTTGCTAAATAGGTGTTAAAGATAAGTGTTGTTCTCTTTTCCTGGTGTTGTAGATTTGTGGGCAGTGGATTTTCTCTAATGGCAGAGTTTGCTTTCTTATTTGAGAAGCATGAGAGCGTTGAGCTAATACAGTGTATTCTGCATTACACTGAATAAAGCCTTTTTTCATTTGAAGGAAATGTTTTGTAGTAGTCATATGAAGAACAACAAATAGGAAGATTGTTCAGAATTGAAACAGATGTTAGTTTAAACTCTGAAAACTATTCTGGCAAAAGGATTCCTGAGCTTTTTTTTGTGACAAGTGTGGTCAAATTGAATGCTGAATTACATGGGCCTTCTCTTAGAGGGGAGTTTTATGCACCTGTGATATGAGCATAATAAATGATAACGTAATAGCTAGAGGCACAGGGAAGCACTTTGAAATTCTTTCTGTATGCCAAAGGGTGTAATTTATGTGCCTACTTTGACAAATATTTGTAGGTGCTAAACAAACTGATATATAACATCCTGAATTAGTGCCGGGAACAATAGCACCAGGGAAGGCAATGGCTGGTTGCTGTTAGTTAACTTCTGTAATTGGAGTCCAAGATAACCTCTGTTAAATAATTGCTATCGATGTATTTTGTCATTTAAAAGGTTAGAGAGATACTTGTGACTGTTATCCTGCTATAACATGTAAATAATACTCAGGACAGGTTAGAAATTGTTACGATGCATTCTTCAGTCTTCCAATCGTCATCGTTAGGAGTTTTAGATTTTCAGCTGGAGAAAACAAATATACCTCCGTTCCACCAAAGAAATCTGGGTTAGTGTGACTCCGACTTCTTCCTGGGCTGCTCTGGGGATGGCACAAGAAAATGGTGCTTCTTTCCTGAAGCCTTGTCCGCTGCAGCGGTCTGGAAGTAGGGGCTACATGGTGCATCTGGGCAAGCACTGCTTACACACCGCTACAGGGAGTATGTCCAAAGTCTTTGCTGATGTGTTCGGATCCGAAAGCTTATTCATCTTGCTGTGCTTTCTTGCTCAAGCACATGTTATTCTTGATGTGATGTTTTAGGTCTTAGTGCTAGCATGCATGGAAGGACCAGCCTGAGTAGGGCATGCTGGCCCGAGTCCTCAAGCACCTTGAAAGAAGAGACAGTGAAGCATATGGGTGGGTGATGGCTCCTGAGGTTGGGCAGATAAGGAATGCTCTTCTTTCATCACTTGCTAGAGAGACCTCTTGAGAGCTGGCAAATATCTTGGAAGTGTTGGCCACGTCCCTCTGCAGGGACAGGAGAGCCAAAGGGTTGCTGTTGGGATGATCTTGCTTTGCAGTAAATCTGAAATGACTTGTTTATCTCTCAAGACCAACGCAGGTTGAAGCAGGCTCCAGTCTGAAAGAGAGTCTGACCCTGTGCCCTCCCCTTTTCTTGAATGATGCTATTGCCACTCCAGTGCAGGTATATTGAAAGTCTTAGGCTTTCCCACAGAACCCGTTACACCTCTACTTAGTGTTTTTCCATTTTGACTATTTTAAACAACATTTTAGTTTTTCCAGTCAAGACCTGAGTTAGTGTAACCTATTGATAAGGATTTTTCTGAAGATTTATAACTCGTTTACTTTATGTGTTAAACTGAAGTATTTCCTCACTTCCTGTAAGTAGAGCAACAGTAAATACCTTCCCCTTCCCTTAGCCTTTCTCCTTCCTTACTCTGTGTTTCTCTGTTGGCCTTTATCTGTCACTGAGCTTGGACTCGTGTTCTTTCTGATTTGGGAATTACTTCACTAGTTCCCAGTTGTATTGAGCTTTGCATCCTTCTCTCCCTTCAGTTCCTCAGACCATCACCTTCTTCCTCTCTCCTGTCTTAGTTTTCCTCTTGTCTTTCCAGCCTTCCCGTCGCCCCCAGAGGTCGGCTCCCCTTGCAGGACCATCATACCTCTCCTGTAGCAGCACGACTTTGGAGGGTGGCTCGGAGCCCACCGTTAGTCAGCTGCCATGCGCACTCCAGCCCTGCTGAGAGGGGGCTTCCTTTGTTAAAAAGCATCCCTGAAAAAAAAGGAATCGTTACGCAGATGTTAAAACACGTGAAGTTTAGGTGTTGTTGGAAATAAACCATAATCACCTTCAGTGAATGCATTTGGGTGTGACAGATTACATTGCTTAAACATGCTACCTGTCTGTGTGGATAAATGTACCACATTAAAGATTCGTTTTTATTCCCATCAGGTGTCTTTAGGCTCTGTTGTTCAGTTTGAGAAGGGAAATTTCTCCTTGTCGGCAGAAACGGAAGAAAAGCTCTTTCCTGAGAAAAATGAACATCTGCTACAGTGGGCCCAGAAGGAATATGGAGCAGTAACGTCTTTCACTGAACTCAAGATATCAAGAAACATCTATATTAAAGTAGGAGAAGGTAAAACAAACAAACAAAAACCCCAGAGTTTATAGGCGCTTCTAGATGGTGAGAGTGAGTCTTGCTGTAGTATTATTTCACATATTTTATTTTATAATCTTTAAACATACCTCTCATTTTCCAAAAGATGTGATATGAAGGGGGAAGGCAGAGAAATAAGAGCAAGTCCAAAGACCGGACCTTGGATTTAGGCAACTTTTAATGGATTCTGGTGCCATAATTTTATCCTCCCAAATGTGGATGCAATTGGCCAGAATCTTACAGGAGTCAAAGCTTCACTTTTTAAGAGGAATAAACTGCTCATGGTGATTGTTTGGGTATCTTCATCTAAAGCAGAGAACCTGAGGTAGGCGGTAATTTTTAGAAAGACCTAAGTTACATTTTTTTTTCAGTATTATGTAAGGATCCAGGCAAAGAATTATTGCTTTCCTCACCAAGATCAGTTGCCTCAGTCTGATGTCCTTGTGTATTTTCATCCCAAGGAGCAAGGTTTCCTGTCCCTGCAAGCCACTTGCCAAATTCATCAGGTGGCCTCAGGCAGGTGGGAGAGGAGGACACCAGCTCCTCAGGGACTGCACAGGCCTATATTAGGGTAGGGTTTGGGCTGTAGCCAGTAGCTGAGCAATGTTGGAACAAGTTAACAGTAGGAGCCTTTGCAGCACCTTCTGGCTCATGCTTTCCCTCAGCTGCCTGCTGGTCTCATAGCGTGTCTTCTGCAGGGAGGTTCCACCTGAGCTGGTCACGAACTGTGGGTAACGCAAGAGCCACAGCTCTTCATGGCATTCTGGGAGCAAGGCAGCCAGTTCAGGGGATCTGTGCCCTGCTTATCTCTATTCAAGTTCATTTTCTGAAAAATATGTAGTTAGTAAAAAGAACTTTGCAGGGAGAGCAGACTTTCTTCTGTTGTGTGGGATGGTTGGGGGTGAAACTTTATTTTTTGCAAGTATGGGATGTCTTAAGCTGTAGGTGCTCTTTACCTAACGGCCTGCAATTCACTGGTTTTTTCCATTCTCTGAAGATGTCATCCAAGGTCAGGCTAAAGCAAACATCCAGCTTTAGGCTAAACCAGAAGCAGCAAGAATAAAGGCTGGTAAATGTGAACTGGAACTGATTTGCATTGCAGTTAGCCATCCGGCTATTTTAAAACTAATTGGTGTTTCTCAAGAAGTTCAGTGGTAGGAAAAGTAGAAATCAATAGAACATCTTATCGACACCCAACGAGTGCTGGTGGGCTCAGCATTTATTAGCACCAGCAGCCTAATTTAGTAGTACTGCAGCAATATTTCTAGAGAAAATTCTACAGAACTGAACTAGTTGGCTACAAAAAAAAAAAAAAAAACCTCAAAAACTGTCTGTGGAGAAAACATTCTTTCCTAACCACCTGTATCTGATCATTTGATTTCCTAAAGCATGAGGCTTGCCCCCCAAAATCGGAACACGCCTGTGTTGGTTTTATCCAAATCCTGCCAAATTTGTACAGGATTCCCCTGCATGATTTTTGTTCTACTTGGCACCAGTCTTGGATTTTAATGCCAGAAAATCATTCAGAAATACATTTATTAGCTTATTAAAGTGCTCTTGGAATGTATACATGGGAGTAGTGGTCTCTGCGTTGCAGAGATTAACATTTAATTAGGTATGTCAAAAAACGGATAAAATATTGTTTGTTGATTTGCACGTCTCCAGTCAAATTAGGCAGCTAAATAGGAGAGCTTTGCATCATCTTTAGAATGTGTTAAAACACAATTTAATTAGGAGTAAGTACACAAAATGGAACTTGGCAGGCAACCAAAATAGACAGTTTCTGAGAAGGCTCCTCCAAACTAGCTCAGCTGTAACCGTATTTGATTTTGATTTAAATTCTTGGCAGAAGAATGAATGTGCGCGTACGTGTGGGGGTTATGCACGTGTTCAGGGGCGGGGAGCAGGTCAGTTCTTGAACTGCAGCAGTCGTGCGAGTTGTTCTATGGAAACCACGTGGGACGTGGACCTGGTCTGCTGCTCTGCAGAGGGAACGATGGAGTCGCTGGATTCCGCAAACAGCGGCGTACGCTGATGGACATTTCAGGCTTTTCACACAAAGCTCTCACTCCTCAAGTGCTTTAGTCGGGTACCCTCGGCTGCCAAGTCTGTGAATCACAGCTAGTGTTACTCATAATCTATAGGTGGTCGTGTGGAGTAGTTCCTTGCTACGTGACCGATACAAATTTAATGGCAGTGTTCATGTAATTGTCTACATTTCGGCTTCACTCAAGTTAGAAAAATCTGAAACTGGAAGATGTAACATTTTAGAAGTTGAGGCCATAGCTGCATACAGCAAAACGCAAATGCAAGCCAGAAGACACAAAGATCTGAAGAAGGGTGATCTTTCATAGAACAAAACTGCTTCTGACGCCATGGGTGTCTGAAATCACTTTTGAAGCTGCAAATGAAAGGCAGCTGAGCGAGCTAGCAAGCTGGGTCAGGGCCAAGCGCATCTGAATCCTGTCGATTCGAAAGAGTGGCCGATCAAATACTGCAGGGATGGGGAGCGCAGTGAGAACTTAAAGGGGCCAGAATGAGGGTTTGGAGGAAGGGGGCACAAGAAGTGATGTTCTCGTTCTTGCTTTGATTTGTGCAGCCAAGGAGATGGCAAAGTGATTGCCATGATAATAATGGCTGTCAGATTCTAGAAAGCGGGACTGCTCATGGCGAAAGTGATCTTAGTACATGTTTTTTCAGCAGAAGTTGGTTTAATTCCCCGTGCTTCAGTAAGATACGATTGTACAAGTCGCAAAGACTTGTCAGTTAGGTAAGTATTACCTAATGCATCCAGCCCCGGCAGTGTAAATCCAGGGCAGATCGGCTGGCCTGGAGGGAGCCTAATTTCAAAACATTTCTTAGGTAAAATAGAAAAAAAAAAAAAGTCAACCATAACAATAACTAGGCTGGAAAATGTACAGTCTGTTTACAGACGGTAACACTGTGCTCCTGTCCTGGCAGAAGCTGAAGCTTCAGTCCTGACTGCGAATTTGTAGCCTGTGCACGCTAGTGCACGTATCCTGCACACCAGACTTGCTTGGTTTAATGCTTGTAGGTGGTTGTGTTTGTGTCAGGCTTTAGCTGTGTGTCCTGCTGGGGCGTGAGTCCTGCCGAGAGCTTCCACCCTCCCTCCAGAGACCGCGGCAGCCCCTTCCCTGCTCGCATATATACCCTGCCATTAAATGGCAGTCGAGGTTCTGATCTCCCTCATGCTAAGGGCTTGTAAACCGCAAAATACACACAAAAAAGCCCTGCCGTCAGAGTGGCTAACGAAAATCCCAAAGGCCTCACTTATCCCCAGATCAGACTTTGAAAGGCCAGCTCTGCTTGCATGGGGCTTTTATTGCTGAATCAAACTGCTGCTGCCCAGAGCGCCTGTCTTGGAGGGTGTGACACCTGATGAACGGCGCTCGTTTTCACAAAAACCTCCTCATGATTTCGAGCTGGGATACTCAACTTTTATCCAATTTAGCCAACAACCTGCCGATGACGCCTAATGGGTGCAGAATAGAGCAGACGGAGTCTGGCCTCGTCTGCAAAATGGAGGTGAGCAAGGGCCCCACGACGGCTGGGCCTGCTGGCCAGGGACCCTCCGCTGAGGGTGTGACAGGCGAACCGCCTGCCTGGTTCCATAGTGGGAGCCTGTGGAGATTAGAGAAGCGCGGGGTCCATAAATTGACTGTTCGCTGGCGGGTTTAGTAAGGTTTTTAATTGATTGCAGGCACCTGCAGTCCCTTTCCAAAGTAAGTAGACAGCCCTGAAACTAAAGAAGAAAAGAAGCAAAGAAAGATGAAATGGATCCCCTTTTCTTTTCTGTTCCAGCCCAGATCTTGGTAACTGGCACTGACGAGAGTAAATACATTTTGGTGAAGGAAGGAAATAAATGTGTACGTCACGTAGCCAGTGACAGAGTTAAAATTTGCTGCCGAGGAACAGCGTGCTATCGAGTGGAGGCCCAGGCTGGGGAGCCTCCGTGCTGGTGGCAGCCAGAGCAGCAATTCCTGAGAGCTCCAGAGACGTTTCATGGAAGTGCCAGGAGCAGGAACCAAGTTCTTTGCAATGGCAAACGATAGCATGTGTGGTAATTATCCACAAACTACTCAGAGGCCGTTATTTTATGGCTTTAACTGTGTTGCATGGCAGCTGAGAAGCAAATACCTAGTATCTCCGTCCGTGTGTGTATGTGTATATATATAAATTCAAGCTCAGCGCAGACCATTTGGGATCATTTTCCATTCTCTGCTGTTGTGGGAGGAGCTGGAAGAACTGCAGCTGCATTCAAGGCTAATCTGGCAGGGCACATACCAGATGTTAGAGGAGTGCTTTGCTTGGGCAGCATGAATAGTTGCAGCCTCACACAGCTCTCATGGATTCTGTAGGGAAGACAGCAAGGTTCATATTCAAAGACTACTTTGTGTAAGATCAGGCGAAGAAACACCCCTAATTATTTCCGCAGTGGCCAGGGTCACAGGAGTCTCTGGTCTCCCTGTGAAGTTGTGTACCACACACAAATGTGCTTCAGGGATGACATTTCAGCTCTTCTTTAGGGAGCAAATGCTAACAGTGGTCTCAGCTCAGCTTTTGAGAGTTCCTCCACAGTTTTGCATGCATAATGCATTATATTTGATTTTTTCTCTTTTTCCTATCTTGCTACTGATCTCAATAGGAGAGCCCTCTTCGTAAAGCAGTGGTCAACGAGCCAGCCATTTGGAATTATATTCCTACAGGACTTTGTGTCTTTGAACATGATACTTAGTCCTTCTGCATATTATGACAGTTTATGTGTAAAGCTATCTCAGAAATACAAAGTATTCCTATTTTTCAGTGGAAGTACTGCTCTTAGGGTACAGCACCGTAGGCTGTGCATGAGAACTTCATATCAAGTGACTGGTTTTTGTTTTGCATTGTATGCTAGTTAATCCTCGTGATCAGCTAGGCAGTTAAAAGTGAGAGAGGTTTAATATCTAGTCTAGAATTTCTTAAATTCAGTTCTAGATATTACGGTCAGACTTCCTTAATACCAACAACCGGTTTCATCCTTTTCTTGCAATATTCAATTTTCCACGCACAAGAGAACTGCAGTATTTCTAGACAACGCTGACTCTGACTACAGAATATATAGGAAAATATATTGAGTAGGGAAATGGAAAATACTTTCTGTGATCTTTTAAATATGGTAAGTTTATAATAACAAGAATAGAACATTTTCTGAAGGGAGAAGGAAGAAGGAATTGATCACAAGTTTTCTGTGAGTTAATTTCAAAAGGAAGAAATCTTCCATTAAATGTGCAAGGAACAAATTAAATGTATTTTATTCATTTTGAAAAATGCTTGTGTATTTTGCCTAAGTGTTGTTTTCAGATTTGTCTTTGTAGGGGTTTTCTTTCATGAAAAATTTAAATTCATAAATAGAAACTGTTCAGTTTAGAAGTATGTATTTTACATCAGAGATGTGCTGTGTTATTGCAAGTGATCTCCCTTTCGATGTTATGTTGACTTGTTAAAGTGCTTATGATAGATAAACCTTTTAGCCTAAAGACCCATGTCATAAAATACAGTGCCACACTGACGTAGATGCCGTACATACATGCGTGTAAGATGATATCTATGTATAAAGGTGCATATGCTTGCTTTTTTTTTTTCCCCTCCAGATCAAGTTTTTCCTCCCTCGTGCAACATAGAAAAGAATTTTCTCTCTTTAAATTACCTCGCGGGGTACCTGCAACCAAAACCAGCAGAAGGATGCCTTATGTCTAACTTACTCCAAGAAAGAGAAGTTCATATCATTGAACTAATCACTCCAAATTCCAATCCATACAGGTAAAGTATCCTGCCCCCCTTCTTGCTCTATCAATAAAATTTTTCCAAGAATGAGGTGAGTAAGGGAATATGAATAAGGGCAGCATCTGACAGACAGGGTTTAAGATGGGACCGCTGTATGAGGAGGTGAGAGAGAGGTTAAAAATAATCTTGTCCTGTCACAGGTAGGGAGGAATGGCAGCCAAGCCTAGGGCAGTGGCTCCCAAACAGCGATCCAGAGGTCGCAAGTGATCTGCGGTCCATGGTAATCATTCCGCAGTCGGTCTGCAGAATCATAACAGTATTTTCTGTCAAGTTTCCAGTTGAGTTTAAACGATAAGTTTGATAATTGCAAGAAATGTTAAGAGTTGACAGTGGTCCACTGACCAGAAAAGTTTGTAAGTAGCAGCTAGGGAACACTACTTAACTCTCGTGTTATGAGGATTATATAAATTGTCAAAGGTCCTGTAAACTTGGCAGGCAAGACATTTAAAACGTTCATCCTTTGCTGGTCTCTCCAAAGTCTTAATGGGAGCATGAGTGGCGTTTGCTTCAGATAGTCATACCTGGAAAAGCTCTTCCAAAGTGCTGGGTATGGTTGCTAGAACAGAAATTTGCTACGAAGCTTAGATGGTTTTCCCTTTTGCAAGAAGAAATTTCATCAGAGATAAGGTAGAATTAAAATCCTGTCTGCGTACTGCAGACACTGGATATGCAGTGTTGTCCAATTGCGCTCCTCAGGTAATTACATTTGGGCACATGCCATCCCTAATGAGGAAAGCCCACAGGGGGATAGAGGTGGGCAGAGGGATCTTTGCAACAAGGGTGGTTATCTTATTGCAAGATGGTGAACCTAGAGCCTGAGAATATTCTTGCCTAGCAACCTTGGGAGAGTAAGAAAGTGCTGAGATGCAGTGGAAGTGGAGTAGGTACGGCAAATGATCTGCCTCTGCGTGGCGTGAGTTGCAGCCCCATCCTGAACAGAGTTCTTGAGCATCAGCATCATTGTAAGTGCCTTGCAGCGTTAATGCAACGACAGCCCTGTCTCCAAGCCCTCTGGGGTTTGGCTTTGGCCGAAAGTACGATAGGAATTTGTTTTTCAGATGATAACACTGCAAAATGTGTAAACGTTTTGTTACTAGAAGTAAAAAAAAAAAAAGTAATACGTTAACATTCCTCTTGCTTTGTTCTTAGTTTTATATATTATCCACATCTATGTTTACAAAGTTTATATCCACAAAGAAACACTCAGAAGCTGAGCTGGGCATGTGTAAAACTGCAGGAGGTGAAACAAGGGCCCCCAGATACACCACGTCCCAGTGCAGAAATTAGTTGCAACCTGTTACTTGGGGATGAGCACATTCTTGTGATTTATGGCCCCATAAGATGATCAGGAAGTACAGGTTTTTCTGTTGAATTAATACTTTGCACAACAAGATGTTATTGATGGGTACAGACCCATTTGCTCTACTTATTTTACTGAGGTCTTGAAAATCTGGATAGTGTTCATCTATTTTCCAGCAAGCAGTAGGCTGGACATCTGTTTTCTTTTCTTTTTAGAGTAAGTATATATCCAGAAGTATTGGAAACTGAATACAAGGGCTTAATTCCTCAACACACACAAGATCCTAAGCGAAGTAATTTCCACAATTTAACTGCCTAGGCAGAGACACTCCCCAGTATAGTATTTGTGCATTTTTTTGGTATTAACCTGCTTGATTTGCCCTTTTGCTTTTTTTTAAGGTATTATTTTGAGCTTTAATAGTTATAGCCAGAGGAAACTGAAACAGCTATATTTAGTCACGGTTGCAGTGAAATAAGAAAACAATATTTACTTTATAAAGCAAACTGCTAGTCACATAACTAACCTGCTCTAAATAGCTGAAATGAGGAGCACGCTTCTTGTAAACAAGAGGCAAAAATATTATTTGTCTAAAAAGTATTTGTTTCTATTGTTATGCAAAATCATTTAAGCTTATGTGAAATAACAATCTGTTTTGCACATGTTGTGTTGCCTGGGATAATCTCCAGCATTTTAATCAGCTGGCCAGACAGTGGAAACATGATGGATTGGAAGAAGGTTGATAGCTGAAAATTTCTGGCGTTCTGGTCTAACTTTCTTGCTATTTTCCACATACAGCGCTTTCCAGGTGGATATAATCGTTGACATTAAACCATCTCAACCCAGTGCCAAGCTTGTCAGAGACGTCGTACTTATCCTCAAGTGTAAAAAGTCTGTCAATTGGGTTATCAAGTCGCACGATGTCCAGGGAAAGCTGGAAGTGATTGTAAGTTAAGGCACCTTTATTTTTTGAGAGGTATCGTACTGCAATGGTATAGAACCCGTTTAAATGTGATGTAGTGCTAGACTATGTTGATTTCTGGATGCTGCTCTTTTTTTTAATTATGACTGTATTTCAAAGAGTAAATACAGAAACTATATTTTTTTTTTCTCCTTTATTGTTAATATGTGGGCTATTAAACTGGCCAGCACATCACAGAAGCCAGGTGGTTAGTGCAAGGATGTAGGGTCTGTGTCTTTTCGACTTCTGTTGAAGTACCCTAAACACAGAGTTGGACATTCATCCCCCCTTTTTGCTGTTACTTCGGCGAGCAGATCTGCAGGTTCATCTCAGTGGCTGGAAAGACGCCTGTGAGTGCAGAATGGATAATCCTAGACACACGGCACACACCCACGCGCCTTTAGAAGTGGAAACTTTTTGACTCCTTCGGCGTGTGGTCGTAGTAGTCTCTAGCCCTCTTCCCTGCCAGTACTTCTGTCCCCAGCAAGGGTTTGGTCAAATTGACCTCACCTCTCCTCAGACCGCAAATGAGAAGGTTTTAAGAAATTAAAACCAGGATCTGTAAAGCTAAATTTCCGAATCTATACTTACACATAATTGGAGATTCCGATTCAGGATGACTTTTGGTACAGGCTTTGTGGCTCAGCACCATTTCTGCTGAGAAAATGTGTTTTCCCTTGCTCTGAAATAAATAAATAAATGAAATTGGACTGATCTTGCAGCCTATAAATGTGTGGCCTATTTCTGTCTTAAGTGATCAGTTAGGAGTGCATTCTGCAGTTGAGCTGAATGTTTGCTCTGGACCACCCGGTGGCCTCCTGATTAACAGTTTTGCAGTAACTCAGATACATTTTCAAACTCCAGCTGTCTGTATTTATAAGGATTTTGCTTTCTACTTTTAATGTGCGCATGGGCAATTTTTAGGGGCTCCAAAGGCTGCTTGATCTAAATCTTCTAAGGGGACAGATTGGTAGGCAGGACTTGACGCTAGATTTTGGGAGTGAGGGATTTAAAAGGAAATAAATATTGGTGTTGCTCAGAAAATTGAATGGAAAAATTATCCAGGGTGGATGATGAAATTCCCTTTTGATCCCTGACACACCTGTATCTTATGGACAGGAAAGGATGTTCTGGTCATTCTGTAGGTAGGTCCTAAATCATCAGCCCTTAAAGAGAGAGGTCAAGGTTGGTTGCCCAGGATTACCACACTTGTAAACAGAAGGGCAAAAACCAGTGCTTGACTTGAAAGTTTCTTCCTGGGTTATTCCATAGAATTCACTGCTGTATGTTTAGGCCTGTATGGGTCTACTTTTACAGGACAGAGAATTGTGCATTGGTTCACTTCATGCTTGGAGATAGCCGAAGTACCATATCCAATATCCACGAAGCTACCTCTTTATGGATGATGCACTTTCAGGGAGAGGAATTCTAGAGGATTTTAAAATGTCTAAAGTGCTGCACTTAAGTATAGAAAAGCAAGGCTGCTATTCTTTTTAAACTTCCTTTTTATTAATTATTGAAAGTATAAGTAAAAAGTATAAGTGAAAATTCTTTCTGTAATGAGTGGCAGAAGGTAACATTTTATTTAGATAAACAAAAAGAGAAAGTAACACTATATATGGAAATGTCAGTATACAAAAGACTTTGTATATTTATGTTAGGATTTGTGAGTAACTGTTTGCTATGCTGCTTTATTTACATAGATGCTTCGTTTTTCTGAATGTGCGTGTGTTCTCCTTTATTTAGAGTGGGGTGTGGGAAGGAACCAAACACCCCCGTGTCATTAAAAAGCCTGTATATCCAGTATTTAGGGTCTGTTCGTATCTCTATGAAGCTGAAGGCCTTTCCAAGCCCAAATTTAGACAATGCATAAAAACATTACTAAACAATTAGGTAATGTTTCACAATGTTCTTTCTATTAGTTGAATCAGATCCATGCGCTTCAATTTTCCTAACTTCTTGCCCTCGGTACGAATCAGAATTGTCTTGAGGGGATTGGCAAAGCGAGAGGGAAAGGTTAGGGCTAAGCTGCCTCAAACCCAGGACTGTGAGTTATTAAGGTCTAAGTTCGTAGACCAAAAATGAAGAAGACTTTTTAGGTCATCTAGCTCGTCTCCCAGCTTGCTGTGTTTCTTGAAACTCTGAAAGAGGATGGACACAAAACCCAAGTAAAACGGGAATAGTTTAGGTGAAGCGGTTGCACATGACCCCTCCCGGGCTGTGTTTAGCTCCTGTTCGGGGTCTGTCCTTGCACCAGCCCCCGTGCAGCGCTTGTGTGTTTCTGTGCTCCGGGGCTCCCTGCCATTCGCACGGCTTCCTCTGGATTCGGTGTCCTTTCTCAAAGCTGTAGGTTGCTCAGTGAACAAAGAAGTGAAATTGCAGAAAGATCTGATAAATTCTGTTAGCTTCCCTTTATCTCAAAGAAAACGAGAGTGATGAGGGGCAAAGAGTGAGAGAGGGGAAATGCGTAGAAGGAACCTACGAAGGCTTCAAAAGCTCGGAGGGACTGTTCTTTGCATGAGAACAACTGCCCAGCAGTTTCTGAAATGGTCGGTCTCTATTCCGAGTCGGTTAGTAGGTGACCCGGTTGATTGCCCGTTCCTGCAAGCTGTTGTGCCGGGTTTTTTTTTGCTGAGGCAATGTAGGACTGAACATTTACAGGCTCAGCGTGGAGCAGAGAGGTATAAACAAGCCCTGGAAATGGTCAGGTGCCAGCTAGGACAGTAAAATTGTGTGATAATATTTGTTCAGCTGTCTCTTCGTGACAAAAAAGAAAAGGAAAGCAGAGAGGGAGGTCCGGCAAAGTTGGGGTAGCGTAATAATTCCAACCAGCCAAAGCTGTGTGGTTACATGAAAACGTGTGGTAAATCACAGCCAAATTTGTATCTCTTGAAGAAGAAAAGATTATTTGATCCAAAACAGTAATAAGGCACTAAAATTAGGATACCTATTGCTTCCTTTTTGTTTCTTACCTTCAGCGGCCTTTGCTAGTCCTTGATAACTGTGCTGGTAACAGTGTTCTCAAACCAGACACTCTGCAACTAAAATTCCCTTTTAACTTGAGTTGTGAAGCTGTGGGTGTGTAAAGGATGCAGAACTGGATCGTTAGGAAGAAATGAGGGAGGGAGCTTAAGGTAAACTGTGCCATTCCATCAGGACTCTCTGAGCTTTATTCACTTCTTGGCGCAAAAGCTCCGTTCCTGTGGCGCTGGGTAGCAGGCCCATGTGGCCACTGTCCAGAAGTGATCTGGGCAAAAAAGAGACCAGTGCAGTCAATCTTCGAATCATAGAATCATTTGGTTGGAAAAGACCTTTAAGATCATTTAATCCAACCATCTTTTGGCGTGCTAGAGTGAAAGAGAATTAAGATTTGTTCACATTGAGGGAAGCCAATGGGGATTTAAAAAAAAAAAAAAAAAAAAATCACCCTGTATGTTGGAGAAGGTAATTGGGCATGGAAATGAAAGCGTGTGTTGTAGAGCGTTCAATGCTATCGTCTGCCTATGGAAAGTGCAATTCAATCGCATTGCAGGAATCGTTGAAAAGTGGATTCTTGCTGTGAGCACGTTCAGCTTGTTCTGTAGTTAATGTGATTGTCATAGTGATAATAGTCATGTTGTGACCATAAAAATAAATACATATATATTTAGCTTTGTGTGAATATATGTTTAAGCTGCCAAGCACTTAAAAGCAAGGTAAAGTGAATATTTTCTAATTGCCCCTCTAACAGCTAGAGATGCTTGTTATATTCCTTTGACTTGCCCATTTGGACAAGAAAATTTGAAATTTTGCAAAACATTTACAGTGCAGTGAAAGCTAATTGGCTGCATGACTCATCTGTATTCCATGGCTAACTTTGACGAGCCGTTATTTGTAATTATTTAATAATAAAACTAAGAGGTCAGCAAGCATATTTGAGCTTGCTGTAACGGTTGGACTTGATGATCTTAAAGGTCTTTTCCAACCTAAACGATTCTATGATTCTATGATGTATTTGTGTAAAACTTACATTGTTAATTAAATTTTAAATCTTCTTTATGTGCAGAAAGTACATGTTGCCTTTTAAGTAGTTCGGCCTTGCATAAACGTGCGTGCTCTCACTTACCCGCTCTATTAAGCATTTAATTCAGTCCTGTTTAACATTCTCAACATTTTGCAGGGGGCACGCAGCATCGCTAGTACGAAGCTCATTCAGAGAGGCACAGGCTGTCCTCGGCGCCAGCTGACTTTAAAGCGTTAGCTGGTACCAGCTCTGCTTCACGAGCGTGCAAGGTTTTGCCTTTTTCAGTAATGCTCCGCTCAACAAAGGTTTTCCCATATGTAGCTTAAGCAATGCTCTAATCAAAGAAATGAAGGGGACAGTTGAAAAATCAGTTGTCATCTTGAGTCCACCTCACATTAGAGGTAATTTCAACTCGATTTTGAAGAAAATACAGCATTACACAAGTGGCAGTAAATACATCTTTGTCTCGTTTTGGGATTAACAGTTTCTGCCTCCCTTGATTTATTGTACTCCAGGCAGAGGCTGGGAGGAAGGGGGGGGCTTTTCTCCACGCATGCAGCAGTTCTGTGCCTAAGGTGGCAGAGTTTGGTTTATTTCCCAGGTGTTCTCAGTTTGCTGTTGTTTAACAGAGTAAAACAGAGTGAAAAAACATGTTCAGTCAGTGTCGCTATTCCATTTGTAAGTGTCCTTAAATGTTAAATCATGAACCAAGTTTTAAAGGGTAAATTGTGAACCAAGTTTTTCTTTGCAGACATCAAATAGTATTGGGTTTGGAAAGGAAATGGAACGATCCATGGCTATGACTAAATTGGTAATACCCGATATTCCCTCATCGCATGAGAGTTTGATCAAGTGGGCTTATGAGCATAACTATAGTCCAGTTACTTCCTACACAAAAGCCCCTGTTGCTAACAGATTTCATCTGCAACTTGAAGATACAGGTAAGCTTGAAGGTGGACTTTTAGCTTATAGAAAAAATATATTTTATTTCCAGGAATATGATGACTTGAAAGGTGCTTTCTCACTTTTGAAGCTTTGTTGTTGGGGGCTGCGCTACTCTCGCTGCTCGTCATCAAGAATGCTGATAGTGTTCTATGAATGCTGGGTTAAAAAAAAAAAAAAAGCCAATGGCTTTTTGATTAGAAAAGTCCAGGCAAGTTGTGTTATTTCCTGATACGTTGGTGGAATTAAATGGTTAGAGTTTATCCGACAGCTGTTACAGCTGACCATGCTCAGTGTTCACTGGAAGGGACTTCAGCAACTTGGATATCTTGTTAGTTAATAAATCCAGCTTTGATTTTTTAAATTTTTTTTAAAAGTAAGAGCATGGTGTTTCCTTGAGACAATTAAATGAACATCTAAATTGTTTAGAGACAAAACTGGCTTACCAGAAAAGTCTGAGTGAAAGGAATAAACACAACTATTTAAAGAAAATTTAGTTATTTGGCTGAAGTCATTGCTGATGTAAAGATGTCTGGGTCCATTGAAGCTAGTGGAGCTGCATCCACTTTTTCACTAATTCTACATTTCAACCACGAAAAATGTTGTTTAGCTGTTTTGATGAAGATTATGTTCACATGAATTTTATCAGTTACACTCTCATGGGTTACAGGCAATTACCTGCTTGGGCCAGATGTTGAGATTAGCATCCCGAGCAGTTGCGGGTATAAGCCAGGAGATAGTGTTCTCAATTACTCAGTATAAAGTTAACTCTCGTTTGACTTCACTCTGGTTATGTAAGTAGTTCCACAACAGTGGAGTGACTGAACGTGTGATGGGGGAGGTAATGGAAGAATTTCACCCAATGATTTGGACTTAGGCTATTTCAGCAGCACTAAAATAGCATATTTGCTGAATGTGATGGTTCTTTTACTTCTGTGGTTGTCTTTTGCATATAACAGACCCGCTCCTCAAAGCTTTTTTTCAACTCTTAGTGAGGCAGGTATCTAGCAGGAACTAAATACAGCAGGATTAGATGCCTCAGTAACAACTAAACCCTTAGTGGAGGGGTTGTAGCTAGTTACCTGAAAAGTACAAAGTTGCTGCTTTGGATGGCCTTCAAGAGCTTCCTTTCTGCGTAGTATTTTTTTTTTTTGTTTGAAAATGGTTAGTTCTGAATACTTCTAGGAAAAATATTGAATAACCTGATGGTTTTTTGTCTTTTTTTTTTTTTTTTTTTTTTTTAGAAGAGATGAATGATGAAGAAGACCATTCCCTTCCTCCAGAGCTGACAGAATTGCTGGGCCCTAACCCGCTGCCTGCTCCAAAGAATCCTGCATTAAGTGATGGCCTGACTTTTCCTTTTCACATTAACAGAGGAAGACATGACACAGTGGGAGAAGGAATCTTACCGTCCAGGGGTTCAGTGGATACGTTAATAAATCATGACTTTGAGCATTCCCTCTCAAAACATAAAGAACCGGAAGAGGTTCAGGGCAGTGCTGATGTAGACCTGTCAATAAAGTGTGATGACAAAGTCATGACCGTAGCTGTAGAAAAAGACTCTCTGCAGGTTGGTGTGATCTCTTATTCTCAAATTTGGGCAGGCTTTTTTTGGGAAGACCATTTTATTTCATAGAATCATAACATTGTTTAGGTTGGAAAAGACCTTTAAGATTGAGTCCAAGTCTACCACTAAACCATGTCCCTAAGCACCACAGCTACACAGCTTTTAAATGCCTCTGGGGATGGTGACTTGACCACTTCCCTGGGCAGCCCATTCCAATGCTTGACAACCCTTTCGGTGAAGAAATTTTTGCTATTTGTATTTTGATTGAAAAAACAAACATTCTAAGATATACAGCCATCACCACCCAACCTCCCAAAAAATAGTTTGGTGAGGAAACTATACTGGAGATATTCTTTGCTATAGCTCAAGGTCACATTTCTTCTTCCCAGCAATCTGGTAGTTTGTAGAGGGATTTCTGATTAAAGCTTTGCAGAGTTGGTTCTGTAAAAAAATTACTGTACTCGACCATCAGTCTGAGTTTTTAATCTCCACAGTACAAAGAAGCTGCTTTTGATAGCTGTGTGAGACCTGAATAGATCTGTCTTTACCATCTACCAGCTGACAGGTTGCTTGTGTCCATTTGCATTGTGGAAAAGAGCCTGATACAAGACAGCATTTTTAGCTCATTTCAGACCAAACAGAGTCAGCATTATTAATCAGCAGATTAATAATGAACCTGTTGTTTTCTTTGTTCCATGCTACATTTATTCCCTGTCTGTCATGTATAACAGCGTTTTGAGAGTGACCTTCCCTGGATGTCAGTACAATGAACTTCACTTCCTCCTATCAGCGGTCACGAACAGTATTCTGAGCTGCACTTTAAGCAAGAGCCTAACACAATTGTGTTTCAGCCACTTACAAAGCGCCTTTGTTTCAGGCTAGCGGCTACACAAGGACAGAACTCTCGCTGCTGGATCACTCTTGCAAAGCCAGGATGAACAGTACCCATTTCATTTTGGAGTCTTCGCTGAACAAATGCGGGACTCGGACAGCATATATCTTGAACAAGATTGTTTATTTTAACTCTGTGAGTATTTTACAAAGAGGAGCCGCCTTCTGCGCTGCACATTGTAGTGGTACAAGGAAGCCATTGTAGTTAGCTTTAGCAAAAAGGAGGCATCCTGATCTTTTCCTGTCTAGCTCAAACCTAGTTGTAGCTACACTCCCGGTATTCAAGGAGGTATGAAGGCTGCGCATTCAGTGTGCTCCTGTGGTCAGATCGTATCCCAAAGGAAAAGGGAGGAGTTGGAGTTAAATACTTTTACAAAACTGCCTGGCTGCAGTTCGGGGACTGTCTGTATCAGTCTCAGAGAAGTTGCACCAGCTCCCTATGCAGCTTTGATGTACCCGTACATAACCAGTGCTACGTAGCTGTAAGGAGGAATAGGAGTGAAGTTTTGTGATTGCACAAAGCAATACCATTTAATTCATACGCAGAATTATTTTAAGTGAAACTGCTTCCAAAATTGTGTGTGAAAAAGGCTTTCAAAATATGAGGAAAAGACATCATCTGTGCATGCTTCTCTCTTACAATTTCGGTCCATGTTTGCTATCAGGTGATGTACGTGATGAAGGGACTCTGAGTACTTGTATAGGAGTGATGATGCTAAGGAGCCCACTTAGGTTCTAAGTGACTGCTTCCAGACTGGTTCAGCTGATGAGCTTGAGTGCAGCGCAGCTAATCTGGGTTGCAAAGTAATGACACGTTTCTCTTGCTGAGCTTTCAAGTACATCAAAGTAACCTTGGCAAATGATGGAAAGCCTGTGGTCCAACCCAAACACAGCTAAGGCAATCTGATCTGACCTTGCCTGGTTAAAACCGTGCTATACTGGCAAGTCTGTAGCACCTAACTTTAGAAACGGTCCCAAACCAAGACTGTGGACAGAAACATCTCCAAACTACAGAATAGCACACGTCTGGAGCTAAATACTGTCGTTGTCCCTATATTCTGTTATGGCCCAAACTAAAATGGATATTTGCCTCTTCTCCTTGCTCTGTCACGTCTTTTAATAGTCTTGGCTACTTACTTAGACTCTGAATCATATATGGTGTCTTTCAGAACTTGGGAGCATTTCTCCTAAAAAATAAACACCATGCAGTGGTGTCTCAAAGAGCATATATGTCACTTCTTAGCAGTTGGTCTATGTCCAAAAAACCAAAGATGAAGTCCTGAAGGGGAGGGGAGTAGCTGAGGAGCTGCAGGGCATACAGAAGCAGAGTGGAGAACATTGGAAAACAAAACTGGGAACTTTCCGTTGAAGAAATGGAGAAGTGTGCAAAGGAGGGAAAAAAAGAGTGGGGGAAATTCAGTAGAAATTCAAAGAACAAAGAAGGGAGAATGAAGAAAGGGACATTATGTTTTGGGGTGTATATCTCTGAAAAAAATATGCAAATGACAGAAGAGAAAATCCTTTAATGACCCTAACACTTTCAGTGATTTTTCCATGAGTGCAGTAGGGAAAACTGTAAGTTGCAAAAAATCACTTTAGAAAGCCATTTCTTTTTTTGATGTTGGTTATAGAAATACCAGAAATAGAATGGAAATGCTGGGGTGCTCATTCAGACAATCTTTGCTGGCTCTGAATTCTGGAAACAAACTGAAGGGCGTTCTCTAAATATAACCTACGTATCTTCCATGCTCAGCACGAGGCTGTTTAAGACGTGCTTTCACCATCTGCTTAGCTGGTGCACTTCTTTTGGCCTTTGCATTGTTCTTAGGAGAGAAGAAAATAAGAACCATGAAGAGAGAGTGCTCAGTTATCACCTAATTTTATGCGTTTGCAATACCTTTTGTGCAGATTGTCATTCAGCTGTCATCACCAGCTGAAAGCAGCGGCTTCGATGATGACGACATGGAATCGGGTGATAATGGATTTCCAGGGGATGCTGACGAGGGAGATGTTGCTTTCTCAAGCCGGCCTGCAATAGCGGTGTGTTACTCTTGGGTTTGCACCTGACAATAGAGAAATGTCTACTGCAATAGGCACTTCACATAAATTACATTAATTGTTTAGTATTTAATTTGTCTTCTAACGCGTTTCTTCTCACCTGTAGTTCTTGTGACCCTGTTGAAGATTTGCATTGAGTAGATGTGGGTGGGCCTGTACTGTACGCTCCAGATTTGTCCTTATTCAGCTGCCACTCAGGATGTATTTGTGTTGTTTCTTTCATTTCAGTTTAATTGCACGCTGCACCAGCCAGAGGATGACAGAGGCATGTCCTGGCCTCCTGAACCACACATCACCAATGTGACCTTCAGCATGGAGCTGTATGAAACAGATCTGTTCCTTGCTCCCTCCCAAGGACTCTTCCCTGTTGCTGAGAATGGGCCAATATATGTAGAGGTAAGGCTTTCAAACTAACGGAAACATTTTGCAAGGCCATGCATCTGAGCCAATCTGTTCTTGTCAATTGAAAGGTCTCGTTGTGCAGTTGCTTTACACAGCCAAGTAGGTATTCTGGTGGCTGCAGAGAACAGAAACTGGGGGAAAAGAAGCAGGGACAATGTTTTGGGTCAAAACCAAAGGATTTTTCCAAAATGGATAAATTTAACTACAAGATAAATTGGTCATTCTTGCCAAATCTGCTTTTCTATGCAGAACTTAAAGGTGGTCTCTGAGCTCTTGCTCTGAACTGGCATTTCCCGATGAAGACTTCAGGGTTCATTTTGTTGGGTAATACGGCTGAACCTCATCTGAATGTTGTAGACATGCAAAAAGTGGTTCCAGAGTCTGCCTTCCGTATGCTAGTGTTCTCAGGTTACAAAGTTAATACAGATTCTGATCTCTCTCCAATCCACTTACAAGCACCAGTTACAATCCTTTTGAATGCTATCACACAAGAGATCCAACAGTGTTAGATAAATAAGAACAGCAAAGTCAACAGCCAGGTACCCTCGGTTTCAGGTGCGTTTTGGACCCAGTAATATTTCTATATGTCACTAGGTTGCTTATGAAATCTGGGGAATTTCAAACCAATGTGGTCAGTATTTCTAAAGATAGTCATGTTAACAGAATTTTCCATTTTTCAAATAACAGTAGGCATACAGCACCAGCAATGAAGTAGTACCACCAGTTTATATAGGAGTAAGTCAAGGAGTGGTGAGCTGTAGGATTACAAGACCAGGAAAATGAGTATATTGCCTGAAGCCGTGCTGTGCCATGTTTCTCTTGCCTAAGTTAGTTCCTCTTTGTGAGCCCATTTGACATCGGTGCAGGATTCTTCACTGTTTCAGTGTGCTGTGTCTCTTCCTCATTCTCTGCCCAGTGAAAAGTACTTAAGGCAGTGGAAGCAAAAAGAAAGTATGTCACACTCAGTTAAGAATATGTTTATAGAAGATGCGTTATTTTCATTTGGATAAAAACAGACGCTTCCTCTGGTGATCTGGGATGAATCCCCCCTGGCTCTGAGTTCTCTGGATTTGTCTGGTTCTGGAGCTGTTTATTCAGGCAGATGTTCCGATTTCTTCGTCACCTGTCCTGGCAGAAACCTTTTTTTTTTCCTGTTTCTCCTTCTTGCACGGTGGAAAATCTGTGTCAGTTTTGAACTTGACCCCATTTTTAGCTGACACAATTTTTTTTTCCATTTTTGTTTCTGTTTTGCTTTTGTTATTAACAAATGTATTTTGGTTTTTTGATCGATAAATTGCTTAGGTGATGGTATGTAAGAACTCTCTCCCTTTTCTTTCTCTGCTAAAAATATTTTCTTTTTATTTAAAACTTTTGGCATTTTTTTCTTTGTTCTCTACTGTCATTTTTGTGTCATATTTTGGTCTCACCTTCCTCCTGTAGTTCTCTTCTTTCCTTGAGATATCATTCATCCTTTTATTTACCTGATGGCGTTTCATGATACTATAGTATGCCTGTCCTCCGTGCCATAATCTCTTTTTTAACTACCTTACACCATCAGCTTGTTTACCTGTCAGTATCTGTGGCTTGACTTTCATTCATCAGTCTTTATTTCTGTTCTTTTTAGAAGATGTTTTTTCTTGCTTAGACGCTTCAGCACATCCCTTCATCTCTAATTTGTTTGCTGCTCGCATAGGGGAGAGAAAAAAAAAAAAAAGAGAAATGCCTTTATTCACTGCACAACTCACAGCATCCCAAAATTTCTGTATAGACCACAACAAAATTTGGCAGGCTCTTCCGTAAATATACATGCAGCACATATGGATTAAGTACACATTTAAGGCACGTTTCTTCCAGGAAGAAAATTATTTTTTGTGGAACTGTTTTCATCAGGCAGTGTTAATGGTTAGGCACAACATTTCTGTTGTTTATTAAGAGCAACATGCTTCATCTCTTACAAATTCCACTTAAATTTTTTTCCTAATTATTCTGTAGCATTTGTTATCTGCATTCCAGTCCAGCTGAACAACGTCAGTGCCCTGGAAGTTTGCAGTCTTAATTATTTTTCATAAAGGGATATGAATTTCAGACTTACAATAAACTAAAAGGATCATTTCACAAGAAATTATGGCTTTTTAGGAGGCTTCCCTGCCCCCCCCCCCCCCCAACCCGCGG